AAAATAATGTTTTATAAGATTTCTCTACAAAATAAAGAAAGGCGTAGCTCTCAGTGCATTTTTGTAGGGACAGAATCAGCATGACAGTCAAACATGGTAAAGGCATGGCTATAAGAAGAAGAACAGTAGAGCCAAATCTATGAGAACAGGTGGAAACATCTATAGATTACAGCAAGCAGCCCCAGCAACATGTAAAGAGGAGACCACACGGCAAGTAGATCTTACCCTCCGGTAAGTAGGGCTTACCCAGAGAAAGCAGACTGGTTTATGGCTTTTTTATTTTTTTATTTATTTATTTATTTTGGTTTTTCGAGACAGGGTTTCTCTGTGTAGCTTTGCGCCTTTCCTGGGACTCACTTGGTAGCCCAGGCTGGCCTGGAACTCACAGAGATCTGCCTGGCTCTGCCTCCCGAGTGCTGGGATTAAAGGCGTGTGCCACCACCGCCTGGCGGTTTATGGCTTTTAAATCAAAACATAATTAATCATCCAAAAATGTAAAATGTGGGAAACTATGTGACATAATATTATAATATTTACAATAAATAACTATCAGAAAGTGAGAAATAAAAGATAATTCTTTAATTCGATAAAAGATTTTTTCTCTAAACTTCATAGGTGACAAATATCCTTGCTAATGGTAAAGGCCTGAAAGCGACCTTAAGTTTGTTTTGTAGATCCATGTAGAATTCAGCAATCTACAACAAAGTGCCCAAGACTCATAATAAACTTAACAAGGTTGTGGAACAGAGTTTTATTATATCAAAATCAATGGTCTTTCTACACGCCAATAACAAACAAAACAAACAATTAAATTTTAATTTGCTTAAAGGAACATTAATAATTGTACCCTTAAAAAGAAATAATTAGGTACAAATCTAAGGAAATACCTTCACTACTGTGTATTGAGTTCTATCTAATGTTGATGAGATAAATGTATCAAGCACATAAGCAATTTATTGTGCCTAATACTTGAAGGATTAGACACTATTGAGACACAAATTCTCCTCCAATTGACTCACAGATTCAATGCAATCCTAATTAAAACCACAGAGATTTTTGTAGATATTAATAAACTGTTTCCAAAATCTATATGGAAAAGTAGAGTAAAAGAAAAGCCAAAACAAGCTTTAAAAATCTCAGACAGAGTCAGGCTTCATGTTTTCATAAGCTACTACGCATCTGTAACAACCAGCATTCCATGATGCTGGTGATCTGACAGACATATTGATGAATTCAATAGAAGATTCAAAATTTTACCTCTCTGGGGTATTCTAAGTTTCTTAGTTTTCCTCATTTCTTTTCTTTGTGCATCTATGTCTTATTGCATTTTCAGAGACATCATCTCAAAATCTCTTCCAAGTTTCAACTCAGTGTTCATACTTCTAACATCCACAAAGTACCTTCATCTCCCATTAATTACTCCTTTTATTTTTCTTGTGTCCTGGGTTTGCTTCTTTGATAAGAGGGTCTACTTTAGAATATGTTTTCTGCACATACACTGTTTCTGAGTCTATCAAATAATTTTATTTATCTTGGTCCTTTTGTCCACCTTGAAGAGTGATTCACCCACCCATACAAAGCTAGCTTGGAGCTTCATAGATTTCACAGATGGCTGATCAGCACACTTTCCCATTGGATACCTGAAGTACAAGCTATTATTTGTTTCTTTTGGAAGATCCCATATTCTATTTTATGGAAGTATTTTATGTTATGTGATTCACTGTTTTCTGGATAAAAATTATCAATTTCTTCTAAGGAGGCATTTCTGATTGACTACTTGATTCGGAGAGTAGAGAGTGCAGTCAAAGGTTTGTGTTCAGCTGGTACGCTCACTTCCTCACTGCTTTTACCTCTGCTCCTCTGGGAAGAGTGTCCATAATTCTTAGTATACACTATTAAGTTTCCCTAGAGGATAAACGACTAATCCCATGGAAGGTAGACTGGACCACATAGGAGAAGAGAAATGTGGATATATATGCAGAGGGAAGGGACCTTGGGCACCAATCACTGTCTTTTATAGATTTCCAGCTATGTTCATCTTTGACCTTCATTCCATACCCCTACTTCTCCATGGTCTCATGCCTCTCTATTCTCAGATTCCCTGCAGAAAAATTAGTTTGTTTCATATCACCCTTTCTGTCTTCCAAGCAATACAACTTTACCAATCATTATAAATAATTATCGTTTTCCAGATAAGTTCTGCTTCCAAAATTGTCTTCAAATCTGGCTGTGCTAGTGTCTCCTCTCTCACTTTCTTTGTTAGTGTGGTGCACTGCTCATTTGAATGGTCCTCTATTAACCTCTTACATTTGGGAAGATGCAGTCTTTACCTCCAATCATTTTCCCCTCTGGTATTATCTGTAGTAATCTTCATAAAAGAAAACTATGATGGAGATCCAGACACATTTGTTCAGTTTCTCATAAAGCTTAGAGACTACTTTTTGCTGAATGTAAATATATAATCCAAAGCATAATTCTTTAGTCATTCAGCAGAGTTTGATTTATAAAAAGATGTGGTGATATCTGTAATCTAAGAAATAAAGCTTGCCTGAAGATCAGAGGACAGAGCAAGCCACAGAGTTAAACATAGAGGTCAGGCAGTGGTGGCACTCACACCTTTAATCCTAGCACTTGAAAGGCAGAGATCCATCTGGATCTCTGTGAGTTCAAGGCCACATTGGGCTACATGAGATTAATCCAGTCTAGAGCCAGGCAGTGGTGGCACATACCTTTAATCCCAACACTTGAAATCTCATGCCTTTGCTGCCAGTATATGGGAAGCACACATGCCTTGAATCCCAGCACTAGGAAGGTTGAGATAGGAAGTGAAATGGCTGGGTGGAAAAAGGCATATAAGGTGTGAGGAGACAGACTTGGAGGCATTCAGTCAGAGGATTTGTGGAGTTGGCAAGATGAGAAGTGGCTGTGGCTTGTTCCTTTGTCTCTCTGATCTTTCAGCATTTACCCCAATATCTGGCTCCTAGTTTTTATTATAAGACCATTTAGGATTTGTGAAACAAGAAGACAAGAACAAGACAAAACCCATCCCCTGAACTATAATTATTTTCTGACTTAAAAAATGGACTCAGTGTTCTATCCCCAAAGATTTTTTCCATCCCTTATAATCCTAGCCAGATTAGGGAATTTTTCCTCTTTATATTTGTCTTGCACATTTTCAATATTGACAGTATTTTCATATAGTTTATAAATATTTAGTTTCCCACCCCCACTATAGGATGGAACTTTGCAAATTTATATTCATATCTTCTCTTTGGAATTTATTTTTGATTCCTATTTTATTATAACCACAAATATGTTTGATTAAAAAAATAAATAAAGTCTTTAGTGCCCAAATAACTTTCCCATTCCTCCTTTCTATAGTAAGCATCTATTCCTGGTATACATGGCAAAAATTCTACTGAAATGATTGTGCTAATTAGAACATCCAAAATTGGACAGGAATGTATTGTTTATTTGGAAACACATTGAAGGAGATAAAATTTTTGACATGAGTGGCTAAAATCTAGTTACTTTCACTTGCTAATTGTTATAATGATTTTTTGATAAAGTCAATTGTCTCGTTAGGGTTTCTATTGCTGTGAAGAGACACCAGGACCACAGCAACTCTTATAAAGGAAAACATTTAATTGGGGCTGGCTTACAGTTTCAGAAGTTTAGTCCATTATCATCATGGCATGAAGGCAGGAAGCATGCACACAGACATGGTGCTGGAGAGGTTAACTAAGAGTTCTAAATCTTGATCCGTAAGAAACAGGAAGTGAATTGTATCCCACACTGGTTGTAGCTTGAGCACATGAGACCTCAAAGCCCACCCCCACAGTGACATACTTCCTCCAATAAGGCCATCCCTACTCCAACAAGGCCACACATCCTAATAGTGCCACTCCCTATAGGCCAAGCATTCAAACACACAAGTCTATGAGGGCATACCTATTTAAACCATCACATCAATATATCTATTTTTGTTCTGATAGCAAAACAAAACAAAACAAAAAACCATAGAAATGTCATTGTTCTGGCTGAACCTATCAGAATGGAAACACACCATGATGAATGGAATCAGTCTATGTGTGTTTGTGCACACGTATTTAGGTGAAACTTGATTCATCTTGTTAGGATCAAAGTTTGACAAGGGACAGCTCGCATTTCCTTCTTTAGTCTCATTCAGTATAGAGGAATCAGCAATTACAACCTCACTTCTGTTCTGGGAAATGACATTAAGTCTTTTTCCTGTAAACACTGAATTATTATTACTATTTTTGAGTGTTGTCCCTGTGCAGAGGCCATGCTAATAGTCTCCGTATCGTTACAATTTTAATATATGTGCTGCCAAACAAGCACTTATTCTACTTTTTACTTTATTTGTTGAGAAAGGGTCTTACTCTGTAGCCCTTGCTCTCCTAAAATTTGTTTTGCAGACCAGGCTGGCCTTGAATTCATAGAGCAATGTCTCCAGCCCCAAATCTGAATTATTAAAGGACTCACTTTCAACCTCTGGTAATTTCTCAGCAAGGAAAGAGTAAAGAAAGGGATCCTATTAAGAATCTGATAAAATTGTTAGCAGCTATCCAAAAACTATTTGCTCTATTTATTTGAGACATATTTTTAGCTTTCAGGCAATCTGAGATAGATAAATCAAATATTTTCAAAGAGATCCAGTTATAAAGTAGTCATTCTAATTAAAATTAGAATTTTGCTTCACAAAAGAATTCATTAAAGGACACATTTAAATAAAGAGGCTCTCTTACATCCAAGTATCTGTTAATAAATGACTAGGCATGAGACATGGAATCAGGAAAACAGGTTCAATGTTTTTGGTATGCAGTATAGATTACCTGAGAAATATAAGAAATTTGATATGCACCCATACTTACAGCAACCTTTAAGTGAGATTTTCACAGCTAAACTGATTTCTTTGATATTTACTTCCATTTCTTATGATCAAAGTTGTTTAGATTGACTGATAAAAAGCTAGGTACCTTGAAGTAATATCACGGATTATAGGTATTGAAATGTCACTTGGAGTATCTTCCGCAGTGTGGACTTGGGTTCCATTGCTTTTCATGCAGGCATCTTTTGTACAGACTTCCACCTGCAAAGATTAGTTTGGAAAGGAATAAATATAATCATCTTCAAAACAGACCGACAACAGTCTGAATACACCTTCCCCCTCTTCATATGAACCTCTTCAAGTCTGCTATAGCCTCATGGGGCTTAGTGAATATTCTCCTTTTTGATGTGAATTGAATCCAGTGGGATGAGCTCAGAACAGAATACAGAATTGGGCTCAGGACAATTGATTTAGTGATTAGCATGGTGATGTTTGGTCTCTGGTTCTGAACATTCACAAAGAGAAGGGCTTATTAATCTATTCAGAACAGTCAAAGAACGGGAGACGCTCAGGTGGTGAGTCACAGGACTAATAGGTTATCCTTGCACAGTGCTCTCCAGATCTATAACCACGTGGTGTAATGATGATATCTCCTGGAAGTCTTGACACTTTGCAACAAATTGCCTAAATGCTAATGTCTAATGGGAGAAAAATGAAGCCCAGGGAAACCTCCCAATAGGGCCGAGCTATTTTATATCCATTTGTTCCAGCTGCAATAGCATTGTCCCCTTAATCACAGCAGAAATCATCACTCACCCCTTTAATTCCGCCACCTAGTTAGAATAAAAACCGAGAGGGTGGAAGAATTTAGGATTGGAAATGGGGCCCATCAAACATCAGTAACCCAAAAGGAGTGTATCCAGTGGCTGGGAGGAGAACAGGTGGATACACAGGAGGTATCTGGTGGAAGAGCCACAGCATGTAGCCTTTAAAGGGTAAACTCAACTCTATTTCCTTTTATTTTAAAAAATATGTGTATGTCTTAACATATGTATGTGTTTCATGTGTTTGCAGGTGCCTATGGATGCCAGAAGGGGATGCCACATCCCTTGGAACTGGAGCTAGGTGTGGTTGTGAGCCACCTGATGTGGGAGCTGAGAATGAACCTGGGTCCTCTGCAAGCACTCTTAACCACTGAGCCATCTCTCCAGTCCCTGAACTATACTTTTTCTTGTGCTAATTGACATTCAATGTCTTATACACAGAGGTAAAAGAAGCTATGTACTGATGATTCTTAAATTCTGGTGCTGTGGTTTTTAGCAAATCAGTCCTCCAATTATTTACATCAGAGCTTGGAGCAAGATAGATGAGATTCACACTGTACTTCAGAGACATCATTTAGTTCCCAGTACCATTGCATCTAAACACTGAGCACATGTTTACTGTAGTACAATAGCTGTGGTATCAATAGTTGTTATATTGCCCTTTGTGGTAACATTTTTATAGACTTAAACACTATTAGGACCCTCCACTATGATTAAGTACAAACAAGAAATAACTTTGAGGTAGATTATCTTAAAATACAATGGGATAGAATTAGTGACATAAATTTTATGCATATTGGAAGGTATCACACTTTGGTACACAGTGGGATTAACTCGAGTATCTCAACCAAATTTATTATTGTCTTTTGCATACATAATATATTTCTGATGGACTCTCGACCAAATAATTTTTTAATGTCTTCCGGATGTACAGTAATAGTGCAGGTTTGTAGGGTAAGATACGCATTTCAATACATGTTTACATGTTATGTGTTTACAGCATGCAGGGAACAATCAGTGTAGGAGATGGTGCTGTCTCCTCACTTTTTCATGGCTGGAGCTTGAGTTCTTCCCCTCTAGCTATTGATAAAGTAGAATATTGTGGAGTTAGCCTCCCCAACCCCTGCTTGACAGCATCAGAACTCACTGCTCCTGAGTTTTAGTACCTGTTACCCAGGCTTTCTCTATTCCCAACTGTCATCATTTCTGATCTCTAGAAAAGATCATTCTGCATTCAGATCCAATGCTCTTTAGCTTGCACATATGAGGAGTTATCAGACCTACATTTTAGCAAGTCTGTAAATCAGGGGGCAGAGCAATCGGGAGACCCGAAAGATGGTCAGATATCTGATATTTGTGTTTCTCCAAAACACTTCCTGTTGACTTTGGGAAAGCATTACACTGTGTTCTCATTCTTTGTTTTTGTTTTTGTTTTTTTCTGGAGGTGAGGACCAAACCCAGGGCCTTGTGCTTGCTAAATCCCCAACCCCGTGTTCTCATTCTTACTAATACAACATTGCCAGTCTTCACCCTGAGTATATCTCTAGTTCCATATGTTCTATAACATGTGCATAAAATGTCAATATTAGGGTTTACCACATTTACTTGAAAAGACCTTAAAAATCAAGTTTAAAATTCAAGTTATGATTCCCTTTGAAAGGGTGATGTAAAAGGATTTATTCAATGATCAGCTTTAAAATCAATTGCTATTCTATGGAAGAGGTTAACCTAGAGAAGTTTTGTTCATAATATTGGGCATGCTTGTCCAATGCTGACTTAAATGATGTTTGACTTCCTAAAAAAGGCACTAAAATTTAACATTCAAATTTCCAGCCATGCATAAATATGCCATGTGTGATAATCCTGATCTACAAAACAAAATTCCACAGTGTAGACAGTAAGGAAAAAATTCAAATTTTGGGTTCGATTTTGACCTTCTGTCTTTGTTTCAATGACACAAGTCTGATTAAAATATGCTTTCTCCTGGCCACAACTGACCCAAACCATCAGTGTGAGTGAGGGCTTCCATATTACTTAAGGGGCACACGATTTGATATGACAGGCCTTGTTCTATAGGCCAAGGCTGAACAGTGCATGTGCACACAACCTCAGAGTTCTCACCACAAGCCTGCACTCTGCACCCTCAGCTTTGTATCTAAGTATGTATGCATGAATGTATGTATTATATATATATATATATATATATATATATATATATATATATAGTGTGTGTGTGTGTGTGCATGTGTGTGTGTGTGTGCGTGTGTGTGTGTGTGTGTGTGTGTTTGTGTGTGAAGGCCAGAAGAGGGTATCAAGATCTCTTGGAGTTGGAGTTAAAGACATTCTCAAGACACGTGGATTGTGATGTGGGTGCTAGGCTCCAACAGTGGCCCTCAGAGTAGCACAGTAAGCACTCTCAACCACTGAACCACCTTTCCAGCTCCAGACTTTCAGACTTCATAAGCAAATGATCATGCTTTGTTCTCAGGGCTCAGTCTTATCCCACAGGGACCCAAAGAAGACCTCACAGCAAAGCCTCCATCTCCATCCAGTGCTCTTTATTCACAAGGCTGTAATTGGAATGACTTGAGGCATGGCTTTATGAATTGACCCATATGTTGTCTACTTGTATGTGTGGACTCTTCCTGAGGTGTGTGAATGCAAATGTCAGTCCACCTGTGCCGTGCTGATGTAACTCACATAGATTGTTGGCAATGAAAACACAATCCATGAAGCTTTCTTTCTGTGTCTATTGTATCCCTTCTTTGTGTTCTGTTGTTGCTTATGGAGCCAAGCCCATGGGTCATAGTAGGGATGGCTGGAATATTGTAGCTAAATAAACATGCTTCACTGTCAGATATGGAAAAACGACTTGTAACTTGGGCAGACATAGCACTCCTGGTAAAATGTTTCTGGAATCAAATAAAATTCCCGCATTTAATGCCTTTTGGAAATTATTCATGAAATGCTCATGAATTTTAGAAGTTGCATAGATTATTTAAACATTTACTAAATTGCAGCCTCTCTATAAATGCTGAGCTTCTGGAATCTTTTCTTCACCCATTTGCTCCCTTGGCCTTCTCATCCCACGTATCTGATAGTCATACAAGATTTTCAGTCTCTCCAGGACAATACTGTATCTTACATACTTCTGGGCTCTGGTATTTCTTCTATTTCAGAGTCAGTAGACCTTGAAGAGGTCCACAGGCTTGGCTTCAGGTGGACAATGCACTTTCTGAGTTCTGCAATAAATTTGCCATCTAAGTGTCTAAATACTCTTCTAGGGAAGGAGGTGTGGACTTAGAAGATTCTCCTAGACTCCCAAGGACAAAATGTTTAAATGCAGCCATGTCACAGGTAGGGCTATGGAGTGTTTGCTGCATGATGAAAAGACTTATTCCTTCCATCTTTGGGTAAAATCCTTTGGTATAGTTTTAATTTGCCTCATTTTATGTTTTTCTGTTGCATTCAAAGTCAGGAGTGCTAGTGGAGGAGAGAATATTTGCCTTTACACAGGGAGGATTGATATCCAGTGAGCTTTGCTACTTCCCTGAGTAAGTGGCTTAAAAAAGAACAGAGAGAAAAATCTCTACATCTGCAAGTTAATTCTGATCTTGATACCAATAAAAGGCCAAGAAAGAAGACCAACTGGGAAGACTGTGTTTTGGTGATAGTTTGATTAACTTCCTTTCACCAGTGGGCATTTTATCATCTCTCCCAATCAGCACCAAGCTCCATCTTAACCAAGAACTGTTCTCCAGGGATTCAAGGCTGCGAATCCCTCACGGCAAACAGCTTTCACTCTGGTCAATTTCCCCTTCCCACCAAACAAACAATAATCTGTAACCGGGACAGAGAGCCGCCACACAGAGACAACGCTCGGCATGTTTTATTTAACATATCCATGAGCTTAACCATCCAAAAAAGAAACCAAACAATGTTCTGACCTGAATGTCGTAGACAGTGAAGGGAGACAGGCCTTTCAGAATAAATGACCCCGGCACATCCATTCCAGTCTTACAGAGCTTATTATTTACATAGACAGAAGACTCAGTGACAATGCCATTTGGGTTGGAAGGAGATGTCCAGATGACATGTACAGCTGTACTGTTGATGATGACAACCTCTGGAGGAAGCATGCCCTGAGGCTCTAGAATTAAAGAAGAAACTGAATAAGCCCCAGCTGTCTCCACCAAAGCACTTGTTAAACCAAACGCAGATTGGTACAGAGACTCAGCAAAGGGCTCCTTGCTTATCTACTCTCCCGTGATGAAGTTAGCACAGTCTGAAGTCCTGTGCAAATTGGCTTATTACACTCTCAGTTAGAAACCATGAGAATTGGTGGCAAAATGCTTCATCTCGCCAGCGTAGTGCTAATCCTCAATGCTATGTGACCAGTGGGATATAAATGATAAATTACTCACCCGTCTGCACCTCTAAACATGTATCTATTACTTGTCGTTTTTCAACCTTTCACTTTATATCTCCTTGGGGTGGAGGGGGGAGGGAATTTGCTCCTTAAGCCAAGTAAAATAAAATAAAATTCAAATACACTGAGGCTACTGGAATGTGAAAAATCATTTGCTGTTACTAGCTTGTAACTCAAGTAATATGAAGCAATAATGCAATATTGTCATTATGTAAATGATTTTGAGTGTTGATTACCATAGGTAATGATGAAATCTAACATTAGAAAAAATCTTGCTTAGCATTAAATTACACAATTATTCAAGCATGTCAGAAATAACTATGCAAAGGCCTATTTTTATCATAAAAACTCATCTTAACTAGTTGAAAAATCGTCTTTGTGATTCATCCTATTTTATAAACAAAAGGTGCCGACCTTTGGCATCACAGAGGAAATGGGTTCCATCCCTAAAGAGTTCTGCTAATGGCCTGGAACACTTGCTTGGGAGGTAACGATATGATAATGCTTATAATGAGACCATCTAAAGCCAGAAAGATTAGAAAGACCATTCCAGACTCATTTCCGACTCAGAAGTTGATTCTCTGGCTTCCTCTCCCTTGCTAACTGGCTTAGAAACCGAGACATAGGCAATTCTTCTCTGAAGCTGAACTTCCACCCAGTGTTTTTTTGGTGACTCGGGGAGGGCTCTTCCTGAGCTGGGGTGTCATTTTGAAAGCCCAATGCTATTGAGGGCTAATCTTAGAAAAAAATGTTTCTGAATGTCACCTTTTATTGACGTGAACTGGCTCCCAACTAAGCGTGCCCGGAGAAGAACATGTGGAAACTGGTCTGATAGGCAGGTATTACAGCTCCATGCTGCTGTTTCAAGGGGACTGGTTTATTCATCTGTCACTTGATGACAACAAGCATGGAAACATTTTGGTTTCTGCCCCCTTCCTTTCAGGATCAGGAATCTTATAAAGGAGGGTCAATCAATACCATTGGCATCTCTGACGTCAAGACCCTTTTGGAATCTTTACTCACCCTCATCATATGTGGTCACATGCACGATTGTGCTGTTGATTCCATGGACTCCATTGAAGACAGAGAGGAGAATCTGATACTCAGTGCTTGGAGCTAAGGCGCCAAGGACATGTGAATCTACATCTGGGAAGATTTTCAAGGATTTATTCAAGGCCCCAGAATTCCAAAGCAATGTGTAATATTCCACATCACCTTGTAGATCTTGAAGAGCTGTTAACAGAAAACATAAATAATTTTAAACATGGCAGGTGGGAAACATAGAATAAATTCTCTTGTTAAATATTTCTAGAATGAGAGAGAAGCAAGCTATTAGAGAGTCAGCTTTATAAAAAGGTTCTGGAATCTTCTCTGTGGTGAAACTGCTGGAGTTAGATTTTATTTTATTTTTAAACAAATGTTATTTTTTGCTTCACTCTATAATCAATTGAGAAATCATATTGAGGAACATATGCTTTAGAATTTCATGTGTGTATGTGTGTGTGTGTGTGTGTGTGTGTGTGTGTGTGTGTGTGTGTGTATGTGTGTGTGTATGCTATTTATAATAACCTTCAAAGTATCAATATAACTGTTTACAAACATACGTGCAATGTAAAGTAACACAGCATGGAGAACGTCCATGACTTTTTTCAAGGACCCCTTTACATTAATATCTTGGGGTTCATGCAGAAACAGCACGTTTTAATTTGGATTATTTTTTTCTCACTGTGATGCTACTTTCCTTTATCTCCAGCAATATTTTAAAAAGATGGGTGTGCCTTTGTGGTTGGGAGGCTCTGTGCCAGGAGACGTGGTGATTAAGTCGGCAAACCCTGGAGTCTGAAGTGTTTTTTCCTCTGATATCACCAACCGTGCTCACATTTCCTCAGTGATGAAGCCAGTCAGATCAGTGAAGCCAGGTGGGCTGTGTGTGAGAAAGCTCCTTTCCTCACTAGAGATAGTTTTCACTGGGACATCCCTCACTAATCTGCGGCCATTCCACAGCAGGGAAGGCATGGTAGATGTCGTTTGTGCTACTTGGTACTGCTGTGGGGTGTTCTGTATGGCAAATGTGTTGCTGATTGGTCAATAAATAAAACACTGATTGGCCAGGCCTCGGGTTTGATTTTATTAATAAGACTCTCTAAGATTCATGCTACATGGTACTCCAACTAATTTAAATTTATTTTAAAAGTTAAACCTTTATGACATTAAGAATGTGACAGACTTCCTGGGGAGACAGAGCACATACAATCTACTCACCCAGAAAAGGAACCCACGGAGAACAAATACTCAAGTACCAACTGTACCAAAGCCTGTTTTGGTGAACCAGTGCTCTTGTTCTCTGGGTCACTAGCAGGAGTATGGGTGAGGGGTCACTGGTAAGGAGCAGGCATACCTCAAAAGCAGCTGCATTACTGGAAACCCTACGCCACGATGGGTGGATCCCAAAGCTGGCAACCCTAGAACTGTTCTCACAGCTGCAGGCAGCTCCGCCATCTGAATGTGGCTTTCTGTCCTCAGTTTGGTTGGCCAGCATCCCCACATCCAGCAACTGTTTCCTCCTTCTGCGTTGTTGGGAGGGGCCCTCCAGAGTCTTCCAACCACCCAGAGTATGTGACCTCCTATTTACCCCTGTGGCTGGTGGGTTCCCCATTATTCCTAGAGGAAATGTTTCAGTTTGGAGGGGATGCCTCAATTAGGTGGAATATGCCATAAAACACAAGGGTAAACAGATTTTACTTATGTTATAGATGTTCCTCAGGAGCACACAGAGATTCACAGATTATGTGTATTGGAACTGGCATTGCACATTCAAGGAGAGCATGGATATTATGTCAAGATCTGAAGAAAACCCCTTTACTAGCCCATTCCAGGCCCAGTTCCATTTGCCAACCCACTTAATGTAGAATACAAGCTATTCACTGCCCCAGGGATGACAGAAGGGTGGTGGGCTAGGCCTGCTGCAGAAGCCTCCACACGTTACCCTGGTCTTAGGACTAGAAACAGGCGGTGTAACTGGACGGCAAGAGCCACCTTTTGCCTTGTCCTGCCTTTTGCCAAGCGGGCAGCTATTACAGTGTAGAGTCCCAGCACAGACTATCAGCAGGGACACTTGGTGTTGCTACCAGTCACTACCACACCAGATACTCCGTGACCCACTGCTCAAGCCACAGCGGCCTCTTCCTACTCACTGAACCAGTTGAGAGACAGAAGAACTGTTTTTCATTCAAAAGACAGAACAAATTAGAGACTGTTGACCTTACTTCCTCTCTGAGAGAGGAAGAACTTTAACTGAATTAGTCAGAAAGAGAAAGCTAGTAAATTTCACCTTTTCTGTCTATTGAATAAACCTGGCTTGAATGTAATTTATCTTTTCTTAAAGAGGAAATTATGTTATATGGATTCTTCATTACATAAGATAACAGAAATGTTGCCTAGAAGACTCTGTATACTATCATTTTCAGAAGAAGGAGGTGGAGGTTTTAGAAAACATTTAAATAATGTTCTTCAAAAAAATAACACAAAAGGACATGCTTTTATTAAAAGAAGCTATGGGTATACAAAACCACGTGCCTGGAATTGTCAATAGGCTTGACCTGGAATGGTTGAGAGATCTGCCTTGGAGAAGAAAGGGAAGAAACAAACAGCCAGGGCAGAACTAAAACCTGCATTGAGTGAAGAAAACAGGCAGAATATACAGATACATAACACCAGAGACTGAAGGAAAAGTTACTTTCCAGAGTGGTAGCAAGATGCCTGCAACAACAGCGATCTGCCTGCAAGACACACTGGGGCAGCAGCAGCATATGTGGTGCAGGTGTAACCAGCCACATTTCCATCCATTTAAGGCCAACTCCGTGAGATGGACTTATATCTGACACTTCTAAAATGACCAATGACCTAGATAAGTCATAGGTCCAGGGGAAAACCTACTACTATAACTCTGCTAAAGGAACAGAGCAATAAAATGACCCCTAATGACATTCTGCTAGACTCATAGATGAGTGCCTTGGTCAATTCTTACAGAGAAGCTTCTTCTTGCAGTAGATGGAACTTATCAGAGACCCACAGCTGGACATGTACAGAGAATGAGAGACTTTGAAGCCATGAGCTTTAACTGGGATGTCTTTATCAAACCTCTACCCTCAAGGCTCAGGGAACACTGTGGAAGAGGATGCAAAAGGATTTTAAGAGCCAGAGGTGGTGGAAGACTCCAAGGAAACCATGTCTTTTAGACACACATATAAACTCACAGAGACTGACAGCACACACCAGGTCTGCCCAGGTTCAAACCAGACAAAATTCTAGCACAGAAAAGGGGAAATGGACACAAATTCCAACCCCTAACCAAGAAGCTACTTGCAATTGATACCTCCTGGCAAAGGAAAAATCAGTTTTTGCCAGTGCAGTGTCCCTGGGTACATCAACCACAGTCCAGGGCAGACCCCATGCCCAGGAGAAGTTGGCCAACTCAAAACAAACTCCAGAATTTTTTTGTGTGCTCTTTTGTTCTATTTTGGTCTTTTGTACCTTACTGTTTTGTAGACTTGTGTGTGTGTTGTTGTTGTTTGTTTTGAAATTTGTTTCTTGTTTTATGCTTTTATGATTGGAGAGAAAGAACATGAAGTTGGGTGGCGGGGGTGGGGTGAGGAGGATCTGTGAGGGATTAGGGGAGGACAAAGAGTACAATCAAAGCCTATTGTAAACCTATGAAAACATTTAAACAATAAAAATACCACAGAGACCAACTTAAAGGGAGAAATCATTTCTTTTGATTCAGTGTCAGAGGATTTAGGCCAGAGATACTGGACCTTACTCCTAGGGGCCTGAGGCGAGGCTGAACCTCATGTGTGAGAGTGCGTAACCAGGAAGGCTATATCCTCCTGAAGGACAGAGAGCAGAGAGCCGAAGGTTTCAGACGAGTCAGCTGCCACACACTCCCAGTGAGGCCTGTCTACTAAAGTCTCTACCATCTCTCAGAGTAGCTCTGCCAGCTGTGGACAAAGAGGACAAAAACAGAGTCTGTGGGAATGTTTTACATTCAAACCATAACAAAGATAAGAATGGGTGGAAAGCAATCCCTGAACTTAATGACAATTATTATAGTATGTTATAGATATTGAGGACTGAGAATGGCAAAATTCACCTTGAAAAGCAAATGCAGCAAATAATCATGGATTTATTAGTTAAGTCTTATCCACAATGAAGAGATTTTTATAAACAGAATATAATCTGTCTTACTTCTCTGTTGCTATGACAAAATGCCAAGATCAAGGCAACTTATAAAAGAAAGCATTAATTTGGTGTTCACATTTCTAGAAGGTTAGAGTCCATGACTATCATGATGGGGAGCAGGGCAGCAGGTAAGCAAGCATGGTTCTGGAGCCGTAGCTGAGAGCCTGAATTTTTATCCAGAGGATGGAGACCAAGAGAGCAAATCTTGGCCTAGAGTGAGCTTTTGAAACCTTAAGCCCATCCCCACTGCCACACCTCCAACAAAACCATCCCTACTAATCCTTCCCAAACAGTTTCACCAGCTAGAGACCAGGTATACTCAAACATATGAGCCTGTGGGCTCATTCACACCCCTACACTGTCTGACCCAAATGCTAACACTATATCCAAATGTAGATCTGGCACAGTAAACTATGACATGAAATGTTAAAGGTTATCCACAGTAGGATACGCTTGTTATTTTCCTTGTTGCTGACATAGAACACTCATGGAAACGACCTCAGAGGATTTATTTTGACTTGGGTTCTGAGGCTACAGTCCCTCATGGTGGAGAAGGCAGGGATGGGCATGGAGGTTCTTCATTTTCTGGTGCTTCAGGAAGCAGGCAATGGGACAGGGATGAAGACTGGGCTGTAACCTTCAAAGCAAGCTCTCCATGACCTTCCTGTGCCAATTAAGGACTGTGACACAAAAGTTTCACAACTTTCAATATGGCCTCACCAGTTGGAAGCCTAGTGTTCAAACTTATGAGCCAGTGGGGACATCCATACCCAAAGTATAGGGGGACGGGGGGATCAGACAATCTTCAGAAGGCTCAGCTAAAGTATGTTTCAGGAGAACAAAATAACATCAGCATGTTTTGAGGGGAAACATTTGATCCAAGAAAGTTGTCTGCATCTGTATGATCATTTGTGTACAAAAAAGGCAAAGGTAGTCCTCTACTGACGAAAGTGAAAAGAATGTGCAAACATGAAAGGAAGATTATCTTATACAGGCAAAAATGAACGTACTGTTACATTAACAAAACCCTTTCATGATGATCCAGTGAGATACCTCAGAGGGAAAAGCACTAGCTATACAAACATGACCCCCTAAGTTCAATCCTCGGAGCCCTGGTGGAATGAAAATCAACTCCCCCGGGGTGTTTCTCCTTGACCCCATTGGAGGACTCTGGCATTTACACCGCCCCCCCCCCACGCAAACAAACAAAAAGCAATCATAACAATAGTAGTAAAATAAGCAAATGATGCCCACAATGCAATCATCATCCAGAGGACAGAGAGGTGAATTGAAACCCAGAATTTAGAATTGGGGAAATACAAGGATTGATGCTAAATACTGAAGTTATTTTGAGAAAATAGTTCTGTAAGTGTTACATAACAATGAAAATGATTTATACACCAAACATTACAATTACAATAATAAAATTAAGGAAAGAACACATTAATTTTTTATTATATGCAAGATAGAATGACATGGAAAAAGGTAAAAGGTATCACTATGAACATACACTAAATTAAAATAAAGATAAATGTTTAAATGAATGTAGAGATAATTGTCTTTAGGTGAAATCTTTTGATGGGTAAAAGGTGACAAAATATTATTACTTTTTTCTTTTTACCAATGCTTTAGGCATGGAGGAGAACGGAGAAAGAAAATATGATCTATGTGTGGAAGCTTATGTTGTCTATCCGTCTACCCCCTGCAAAAGTCTGAAAACACAGAGACATATCTTTACCTCACATTACAAACATATGTAATGGAAGCAGGCAAATTGTCAAGTAGCTTCTCAAATGGCTCTGAGCCAACCCTTCCTAGAGTAACTTCGGTGCTCACCAAGTCTTATCTGAAAAACTTCCAAGGTATGAATGGGAATAACAGCAGGTTTTATTGCCTACATCCCAATAAAAATGCAAATGTCAAATGGCTTCTCTTTGTTGACTTGTGATTGATAAAAATTTACCAGGAACATTTGCTGTGCATTTGTACCAATCACAGTAGAGGGGAAAAAAAGTCTTTTATTATAATCTTCTGTGTGTGTGATATGTGTGCATGTGCAGGTTCATGTGTGTGAGTACACACACACTACAGTGTACACATGGAGGTCAGAGGGCATGCATGGGGGTCAGTAGACAGCCGTAGGGGTTGATGCCCACCTTCTACTGTGATATATAGTCTCTGTTTATTACTGTATACCAGATGAGCTGTTGGAGGGGCTCCTCGGGAGTCTCCTACCCGTGTCTCATTATGCAATAGGTGTGCTGGGGCTACCGACTGAGACAGCCCCCAGCCCAGAGTGAATGAAGTGTGTGTGTGTGTGTGTGTGTGTGTGTGTGTGTGTGTGTGTACACACATATATATTTCATGATATTTTGAAAGATGATGTTTACTAAGCCAAGTTGTAAAAATGTATTCCTAAGATTTCCAACTCTAAGATGTGTTAAACAACAGCTTTGTACTGTTGAACTTAGTAGGTTACGCACCAATTTTTCTTCCATCAAGCAAGAAAAAAACATTAAAATTAAAGTTGCAAAAATAGGCAGCTCCTTTGCAGAGGAGTGACTAGTTAATTGACGTAAGATAGCAGATTGCACAGAGGAGGGGCAAAATCCTGCAGCAGGCTTTCACAGACGAGCCTTCTCAGAGCTAACCTTTGTACTCACGAAGAGTTATCTGAAGAATTTCCAAGGTATGAATGGAAACCACAGCAGATTGCATTACCTACATCCCGAAGGTCAGAGGTTCTGATTACCAAGGTAATGAAACTTCAGCGGGCCGCTTCAGATCTATTAGGTTTGTCAGCTTCTATAAGCACGCTGACTTCAGGAACGCAATGATATCAGGTATTCGAGTAAGAACAGAGCAGCCACATCTTCCCTTTAGTATTCAAGTATTACAAGGAGGGGGGGGTGACTACTTTTATGGGCAAGCTCTTAAGATGAATTGGTAAACAAGGTGGAGCGGGGAGGAAGAATGGAATGGGTGAAAACACACACACAGACACACAGAGACACACAAGCACACAGACACACACACATACATACTCACACAAATAAATTCAACTTCAGTTAAAACCTATTTTTCCCGGACATGTTATAGAAGGCAATCAGAAGATCAATTAGCTCAAAATTTCCCATTAAAATGGTTCAAATTATTCTAATCCAAATGCCACAGATCATTACAAACCAACAAACTTACAAAAATCCTGGAGGGTTTTTAATGTTTTTTTTTTAATGAATTATTTGGTGGAAGCATAGATCAGCACATGTGTGCCTCTATACATAATGTTCTTTGGGCCCACAGACCCTGAGCGTGGTTCTCAGCCTCGGTAGTACCGGGAAGCAGTGAAACCTTGAAGATCTGGTACCTGGTAGAGGTTACTTGGCTGTTGGGGGCATGCTGCTGAGGAGAATCTTGGAGCATGGCCACTTTCTTTTGCGTCAAACCTGCTAGGATGTGAGTACCTTCCTCCATCATGCCCGCCTCATGCATTGCCTCACCACAGGCCTCAGAACTCCAGAAAGAAGTGATCACACACCCCAAAACTGGAAATGTAAGTTGATATCATCTTTCCTTCCATGCACACGGGTTTATTGGGGGTATTTTATCACAATGGAAGAGTGACCCACACAAAACCTGCTCCGATTTGTAGTTGATGACTCATGATGGTTATCACATGGGAGACAGTTTATGCAAACCTGTCTTCTTAGACCTGAACAAACTCCTGACTAGCCCAAATTATGCTAATGGTTGCCATTGTTATATCCGTCTTTTAGTATAACAGTAGATAACTGTTCTAGTGAGTGTTTATCTTTATAAAACAAATTACTTTAGTCAAACCTGTACAAATTAGATATTTCTCAGTATTCAGTGAAAATACTGACAACCTTTGATTCAGCCATTTGTCAGATCTTAAGTCATGCCTGCAAAAATGGTTAGTATGACTATTTCTATTACAGACTCACGACTTTCCTGGTTGTTCTTAAAGGCAATACACATGAGTAAATCAGATGCTAAATGCCATACCATTAGGTAGCTGAGATTTCATCACCATGGTTCCCAAAGTTATAGAGACATCTGTATGCTCTTTCTCTCCCCCAGAAGAAGTGTTCCATCAGGCCAAGGTGAGATCCTCAACACAGTGATAGTGCATCGAGATGGAATTCCTTCACCAGCCAACAGTGGTTCTAAGGCATGGTGCATGGGAGAATCACACTGTGGCAGACCTTGTATATGGTTCTTATTAATGAGGAATGAGTGAAAGGTGCTAGGTCTGGGAGCTGCAGAAGGGTCACAGTCCTGCATGGTGCCAAGTGATTAAGTAGATGCTTCTCTCAGACTATCCAGTCCCCACACTGATGGAACTACTCCCCATCTGAAGTGAATATGGGAAGGGCACATGGATCCAGGAAGTGGTAAAAAGGCATTCATCTCTTAAGAAGAACCTCACAGGCCTTGGAGGATGGTTGAAAGAATGAGAACCTGGAGTTCCACCCCCAGAACCCACATCAAACCTAGGCATGGTGGTGTCTGCTTGTAATAGAGTACTGGGAAAGCAGAGGTAGAGTCATGAGTTCAAGGACAGTTGAGAGAAACATCCTGCACATAGATAGCTTAGGCACCTTAACTTGTTTATTTTTAGTGTGCTGTGGTGGTTTGGTTGAGAAATGTTCCCCCATAGTCTCTCAGGCATTTGAATACCTGGTACCAGGTTGGTGGTGCTGTTTGGGGAGGTTTAGGAGGTGTGGCTTGCTGGAGAACTTTGTCACATTCATGCTGCCTGCTGGCATGCCTCCTAGCCACAATGGACTCTAAGCCTCTGGAACCATAAGCCCAATCAACACTTCCTTCTTTAAGTCGCCTTGGTCACGGTGTTTCATCACAGCACCAGAAAAGTAACGCGAGTGCTAGAACTCAGGGAAAAGAGAGACATGCAAAGTGTCTTACTTGGTTTCTCCCATCTCACGTCTATGGCTGTGTGGTTAAGGACGCTCGCGGTGACAGTGGCTCCTCTCTCTGGAAAGCCTGCTAAGGTGGTCACTGCCACTTCTTGGCTTGGCGTAAAGCCCACGCTGTTGTGTACCAAGAGCTTATATTCGTACGATGTAAACCTGAAGGTTTTATCAAAATAAACAAAAAAGCATATAAGTTATGTTCTATAGAAGACAAAATGCATTTATTTATTTTTTTTTCTCACAAAATACAGGGTTCCTTTCCACAAAATGTTCAGTTTCCTTTTCCTTCTGGGAAATGCATTATTTCCTTTCTTCTGACACAAACGTACCATTATCTCCGTAACTCTCCATCCTCAACCAGAGTGTCAGGAAAACATTTGATTTGGAAGCCGTAAGCAAATGTCAGTCTTTTAAGTAAACTCGGGTTATCATTTTCCTCATTCTTACTGTTTTCAGAAGCAGTGAGGATTATGGCTCAATCCGAGATGTAATTACAGGGCTGGCAGCTTGCCAGTTTCCTGTCCCAATACCATCCAGGGAGTTTTATGCTCTTCTTTAGGGAAACTCATCCATTTTCAAATATCAGACTCCATCATCTTTTTCTTCCTACACTTCTTCTCTGTCCCTAGCATCTCATTGGCTGGCAGATAAATGCTTAAATGAAATCTCAATTGTGAGCAGAGTACACAAGATTGCTCCTCTGAGAGTTTGGTGACAGCGAGGTGGCCCGGCCCCAGTGTGTACATGTTGAGTCAATATAGAGGGAATGGAGCCATACTTCATCAGAGGAGAAACACGGACACACAGTGTGATAGGCACTTCCTGGGCACATGTTAAATTGTTAATTCTTCATCTCTGGTTCTTTCAAGCAGGAGCCCTGTAGCTTTATCTTTTTGGTTCTAAATTGTCTAAGTAGGAAAATGCTATTTATAGACAAAATCAGGCCCCAACTCTACAACAATCTGTATAATCTGGAGATACTTGCTTAGACACATTGAGTTCTAAGTGGCTGTCCCAACTTTGGCTTCAAATCTTCTTCTAATGTGGGATCATTATGTGTTCCCAGGGTATCTAGCCTCTGAAACCTTCACAGCCAGGCCCAAAGTCTCAATATGTCATAGCCCTAGCTGGTCACAGGACAAAGGGAAGAGTGCCATTTCCAGAAACTTCACTAAATGGCTCGAGCAAAGTCAAGTCAGGATTTTTAGAGTGTTTTCATACCTCCAGGTGGAGCTCTGTCTGCCTCTCATTATCCCTCACTTAGGACCCAAAGGTATTTTCCTGGAGTTCTGCCTCAGTCATGTAAAGGATGCTACTCTGCTGCTGCTATAGCCACAGATAATGAATGGTTCAGAGGGCTGTGGAGGGGGGGGGGATGGAGGCTCATTTATTGGTTTAAGTCTCTAAACAAGAGCTACCATGGAAGTTTATGCTTCTTTGCTCTACAGCACCATCCCCATCTTGGGTGTTCATTCCTTGCCTGCCTGTTCTTCCTTTCCTCCTGCTTCCCAGAGCTCTGTCTTTTGTCCTCTCCCTCCCTTTCTTCATTTCATGGATTGAATCATTTACTACCCCCCCCCAAAGAGACACATTATCAAGCTGTGTATTTGTCTATCTAACGAGTTAGAAGGGGTCACCCAGCTCAGGGAGCACTCTCGATACAATGGCTGCTATCCTGTAAGAGAACAGAGAGAACTTTCGATGCCAGACACAGGCAAGGAGACGATGCACATGAGGACAGGGGGACTAGCAGGAGTGATGTTCCTTCAAGCACAGACATGCTGGGACCGTCAGAAGTTAGGAGAGGCAAAGACGCCACTTTCTGAAGCCCGTGGAGGGAGCCTGGCCTTGCAAACGATTTGTTTGGTGACCTTAACTATGAGAACTGGAACAGAGTACCCTTTATGCTTGTGTTGTTTCTAGCCATCCAGTTTGTGGAATGTGACATTAGCAACCCTGGGAAGATACCTGTCTATGTGCTCTTCACCAAGAACCAACCAGCCTACAGGACCAAGGCAACCAAAAGTCAACAGCCACAGTAATTTCCTGTGGCCCTGATATTTCTACAGGCATCACACATCCATTCCTCACAAGTAACTCTATAAAGTGCTATTATAGTATGGATTTTGAAAGTGAGGAAAATAAGCTTGGAAGCATTAAGTAGCTTGTCCAAGTCATTGAACTCCTCACGAGAGCTGAGATTCAAATGCAGGCAGTCTGATTGAAGATGCTCTGAACCAGTGGGCTGTAGCATTGGGTACTGCCAGTGTGATGAGAAAGTAATAATAATAATAACAATAACAATCCAGGGATAATCTGCTTTGCCCCTTTTGGGATGATGTCATATGACTGGGACTTGACCTTTGATACCTTTCTAGCTGAAGGGAGGGGGCGATTTAATTCTGCATCCAGACTGCCTGCCTGGTTTCCTCTGTGACCCCAGGATGAATGTGAAGGGTGGTGAGTCAGGGTTAAGAGGGTGTTGGGTCTGAGACAATAGAAGGAAGGGAAGCTAATGGCTCACGTGGGAATTGAACCAGCGACCTTGGCTTCATTAGCTCTGTCCCTGGGTAAAATACTTATAATTGTATTTCAAGTCATAAAATTGCTTTATTCCTTTAGCTGAAGACTAGAAGCATAGTCTTTTCTGCTACAGTACTGGAGCTTTTCTTCCACATGTTGATGCTATGATACAACTGACAGCCTTTGTGGCTCCAAATGACACCACGGTTTTAGCCCTTTACTGTGTCAAGCTAATAGCACTAATATTTTTCTTTGTGTACAAATTTTGGAGGGCCTTCCTCCTATGATACTTGTAGGAATTTTATAATTTTATGTAGTATGCAATTTAGGTAGATCAGGCAATATGTATTCCAGATACATAATATATTCCATATATGTTATAGATGGAACACACACACACATATATAAAATAGATGGAACACGCACACACACTAGATGGAACACAGAAGGACAGAAGGCATGGACCCTATAGATACATGCTATTGGAAAGTGGGCTTTTAAGATAGCACTAAAACTTCTCAAGTTGAACTGCCTTTATGGTACATTTATTTCCAATAGTTAAATGTTTTCTCTGTGTTAGAGATTAACAACCGAACGGAACACCAGGACTGAGAAGAAGACCCTCTTGGTCACTTCTGAGGAGTCGGTCTTTCTAATATACATTCTTTCCCTTGACTGAGAGCTCAGCATGCATTCATATTTGCCTTTGGCTGTTGCTATAACTTTCAGAAAGAATTGTGAAGATGTTTAATGTATGTGTGTTTTCAGGTATCCTTAGAGGCCAGAAGAGGGCATTGGATCCCCAGGAGCTGGAGTTACATGCATTTCTGGGCCCCCTGAGTTGGCTGCTTTAAACCAAACTTAGGTCCTCTATAAGAGCAGTCAGTGCTCTTAACTGCTGAGCCATCTTTTCAGCATCATATTCTCTAAGTTTTAATAAAAATCTCTTTCCTACTAAATGAAAAACTAAAATTGCAGTTTTCAATGCAAAACATATTAAAAAATTAAATCCCTGTATTTTATGTCTGTACTTTCAACCTTGTGAGTCTGAGACTTATTTTTTTACTATGTATATATGTGTGTGTATGTATGTGTGTTTCTATGTGTGTGTGTGCATGTATGTGTGGGTGTGTGCACATGTGAGTGCAGGTGCTGTTCTGGAGAAGGTGTTGGAACTCAGGGAACTAGAGTTACAGGAGGATGTGAGGTATCTAACATGGGTACTGAGAATCTAACTCAGGCCCTCTGCGAGAGTGCTACACATCTTAACCCCTGAGCCAGCTCTCTGGCTCCAGCAAAGACAGACTTGACTTAGTAATGGTGTACTCTTGTATCTTGTCTACACAACTGTGTGGCTCACATTTCACCCCTGCACAGACAGCAGGATGAGTTAGTTGGATGGAAGCAGCTTTCCTATGCACTCTCTACATTGTCTTTTCAGTGAACTGCTGATGCCACATGGCACATTCCACTTAATAACAAAATAAAGTTTACACAAGGAGAACAGGTCAGGCGACACCATATACTCATAACAAGATCCATTCCAGGAGCAAATGTAGACTGTTAGTGACAATACAATGATGACGTTCTCCTTTGTGCAAAACAGCATAGGCTAAAAATCTTACTGTGTAATAATTCTTAGTTCAAAGTCCAGCTGTTCTAACTCAAACGAAAAAATAAATTCTGTTTAGTTGAAAACATCAACAACAACAACAACAAAACAAAAACAAAACAGCACCCATTAGATTCTGCCTGGTTGATGCAGGCCCCATCTGCTTATCTATCAGTTACTTGTAGGACATGAACAGGTGTTTCACAGTTCCTAAATCAGTCACCCTCACAGATTTCAGGGCACATGTAGTTTACTAGGTTAGTGACCCAACCATATTCGTGTCCAACAGAAAAATGATCCCTACTGTCTTCTTTGGGAAAAATACACCAAGAACAAATAGCATTTGCTGTAGTGATCAACACCACTTCAGCCACTGATTCGTTCATTTATTCAAACCTTATTTCCTAAATGCTAGCAGTCACCTGCTGGACACAAAGAATAAGGATCTTGCTGTCTGTTCTCTTGGAGCCAGAGCATGTGCAACCTCTTAGGGGCATGTTTCCTGTTGTCTGTGTGACTCCATGTGAACCCTGGGGGCTGGGGGTCGAGGAGGCCAGAGATGGGTATTGATTGTTTATCTTTCTCAGTTTCTCTCCACCTTAATTTTTGAGATAGGGTTGCTCACTGAATTTGGAACTCATTCATTTAGATTACCTGGTCAACAAATCCTAAGGATTCTCTTGTCTCTATCTCTCTAGTGCTGGGGTCATAGGCACAGGCTGCAGCACCTGGTTTTTATGCATGGATTCTGGAGGATCTAAGTCAGGTCCTCATGCTTGTATTGAAAGGTCTTTACTCAATGAGTTACCCGCTAGCCTCATGGGAATGTTTTGAAATGAGAAAATTTAGACTTGGTTCATCTAAAATTTACTCTTTTTTCCCCCTTCTCTTTGGATGTAAACCACTGAGACCATAAAAGTTTAACCTCATCAATGAGGAGGTGTGATTTGGTCTAGCTCTTGATGTCAAGTGGTATTCAGTCTGGTGGAGGCAATTGTCCAGTGAAAGATATGTTGCTATTTTGGCTCAAAAGGTGTACAGGCTGATAGCTTGAAAAGCTCTGACTTCTCTGGTTACCTGATAAAACTCTTCAATATAGCTGAGAATGACTTGGGTTATTTTCATCAAAATCAAATCTGTGTCAACTTTATTGACATCCCAACAGAATTCATGTTTCAATATTGTCACTGCTATAAATGATGATGCTCTTAAAGATGCAGTCTAGTTAGCTGCTTCCTGAACTAAGTCTTCCTCATCTCTGCCACAACCAAAAGCTCGCCTGAATAGTCTCACACAATGAATATGAGAGACCTCGTGTGACATGCTGGAGCTCAGTTCCTCACATCCTTGTGGGAACAAGGAAGTATGCTAACAAATGACCCATCCTAAGATGATTGCAAAAACAAAAGGTATTTTTATTTGAATTAAATTATCTGGATAATTGGCTTGATAACCTGCATTCCATAATAAGATATAGAAGACAAAATTACTATAAGAGAGTCCTGGACTTCAGGATATAGAAATATTATAGAAAAATATGCCATTGCTGCTTAAATTATTGTTCTCTGCATTAACACATACACTTTAGTAAACAGGCCACTTGAACAAGGTAATAACTCCAACTTCATTCTAATTTTATAACTATATTTATAAAGGGAGGCCCCATCATTCTTTGCTATATATTTTGTATCAGAAGAATTGTCACTTAAACACTGCTCTAAATGCATCTATAATGATAAAAATACAAGATGGCATCGGGTAGGGTGACTGGAGAGGTGGCTTAGGGGTTCAAAGCACCAGTTGCTCTTCCAGATGACCTCGGTTTGATTCCCAGCAACCACATGGTGGTTCACAATGGCTGCGACTATATTTCCAGAAGATCTAATGCCCTCTTCTGGCCTCCACGGGCATTGTATGCATGTGGTGCACAGACATCCATGCAAGCAAAATACCCATACATATGAAATAAATAAAATAAAATATTTTTTAAAAAGTGTGAAAAAACACTTCAGTGTTCTGTTTATTTACATAAATAGAAAAGGGAACAGGGAAATTTGGGGGGAACAGTTAATTATGTATGCCTTCTAAAAGGAGATGGATTCAATTAAAAACAACAACAAAACAGCCAAATGAATAAATCAACAGGATAAACAAAGTCAGCCTCCTGTACCCTGGGGTTCCACATCCTCAGATTTAACCAACCATGAATGGGAAATATTTAGAAAAATAACAGCATCTGGTACTGAACCATTTTTTTTTCTTGTTTTGTTCCCTAAACAATGCAGCACAACAACTCTTCGCCTTTACACCTTACGAAGCATTGTAAGCAGTGCAGAGATGATGTAAGCACATGCCAGCCTGTGGTGGGTTATATGCTAATACTTCACAATTTTACATCAAGGACTTTAGCATCCACAGTTTTTAGTATCTATGGAGCCAGAGGTGGGGTGGGATGGGGGATGGGATGTGGTCCCAGAGGCAATTCCCCCAGATTCCAAGGGAACCTAGGTAGGTCCAGGGGAAAGTTTCGTTATGGTATCACAATACAGGGGACAACATTGGTTCTTTCATGGTGTGCTGGGAGCTGTGAGTCACCAGCGGGAAGGGGAGCCCTGGCTGCTGTCAGGGTAGATGAAGGCGGTACCTGAGCAAACAATGTACGCACTTATCCCCTTTATCAGTAAAACCCTGAGCCCTTCTGAGGGCTAATTTACAGCTTCCTCTCAGGCTGGCAAGAAGGCCTACTTTGAGCAAAAGTAACCTGAACATTTTTGGAATTACAGGGGGTAGACCAATAAAGAAAGGAATGGTCTTACATTAAGATGACTGAGCCATATATTTTGAATGTTAAGAAACAGAAAACACAGTTGGTGATGGCATAAGCCTTTAATCCCAGCACTCTGGAGACAGAGGCAAGTGGATCTCTGAGTTCAAGGCCAGCTTGGTGTACAGAGGGAGATCCAGGACAGCCTGGGCTACACAGAGAAACCTGTCTTGAAAAAACAAAACAAAACAAACAAACAAACAAGAAACAGAAAACAGGTCCCAACTTTTAACCCCAAGCTCTTTATGAGGGTATAAGCAATTACTTATTAGATAACTGAAGAGGACCTGGAACTTCTGATCCTCTTATTACCACCTGCCTCTACACCCCAATTATTCTCCTTGCTTGAGATTGAACCTGTGGCTTCCCTCAAGTCAGACAAGCACAACTGAGCTTAGTTTCCAGTCCCTCAGTTTTTTGAATAAAAACAGAAACCACCAATTCAAGATCCACTGTGGAAAAAAAAAATATCCCCGACATTTAGCCTCACATGTCTACTTAGATCCCAGAATAGAGTTTTGTTTATCTGCACAGTCCTTCTAGAAATAGCTGCCATGAGAATGTTGATTTCAACTTATATTCAGACCAGCGAGAGAGGGGACAGGCAGCTTCCTGGAGGAAGAACCTTCTAGCCAAGACCTGAAGAATGATTGATTCTGATGGGAGGAAGGGGCCTGATGAGGAATGAGACCAGAGACGGGAATTCTCCCCGCTGTCCTTAGGGAGCACAGAATGACAGATGATGCAGGTAGAGCCCCAGAGATGGTGAAGGGTTCGCCTCAGCTCACAAAGCTGCTTCCTTAGCAGAAAAAAAGTTTCGGTCTAACTTTATCGTGTGGTATGTGTTTTTTGCGGGTATCACCTACTGGCTCATGTTTTAAACTCTAGATTCAACTCTTTCAAGTCTCACTAATTCAGTGACTTATAACCCGTTATCTCCCCAAACCCTATGTACAGGAGGCACCCACTGATCTCCACAGTTCCCTGTGTATTCAATATTTCCAAATTCCTTTACTAAGTTTCATGTCTAGATAGAGCTGTGACAAAGGCGGCAGTAGGTTGGGACTCACACATCTCCAAGTTTGACTTGAAAGGCTTATTTCAAGCACGCCGTTGAGATGGCAAACACTGCACATGCCTCGGCTACACTTCGATGATTAATGCCACAGATAATAACTGAACATATTCTACTGCGTGACTGATAACAGGTTCACACGATGAAGACGCTGGGGTACTTTGAACTATTCAACATGCCCCAAACTAAATGCCAGCATTTGTTTTTATAGTTTTTGTAATCTCACCTGCTAAGACCCTTATCTTTGTAAAACCACCGAGTTCCTGAATAAATATTGTGCCACAGATTTAAATCTTCTGGGGGATTTGAAGCAAGTGGTTGCTGGATTTTGCGTCTCAGAAGCTCATATCTAAAACAAAAGACAAGCAGGAATATCATGATTGTCTCAACTAACATTATTACTGAGATTCAGGTAGGTTAGCAGCACTTGTGTGACATGCATGAAAGCATAAATAATACCTTAGTGCAATTATGAAATCTTTCAAGATGAACACTTCTTTTTCCTGGCTTAACTATCATACAGTCTGTTAATTGCAAATGATCATTTACACTCACTTTTTTTGATCACCAGTGGGAATGGTGACATTTTAGATTTCTGTGTCAGATTTGCTCAATATTTGTTGCAAGTTTCACACAAAAGAGGACTATACAAATCTTATCAAGTTAATTATTTCATAAGACTCCATCAAAATTGTATAAACCATGATGATATTATCCACTGTTTTCTCTGCCAAGTATTCAGTTCTGGCTGCTCTACAGCTATTTTAAAAGTCGCAGTTCTTTGCTTCCATCTTATCTCTGAGAACATCCTTCACAAGTCTGTAGACAGTGGTGATAGAGAAACAAGCACAGGGTTAAGTTTATAATTCAGAGACACAGTTGTCCCACTGTGTTACACAGGACATGCACCAGAGCTGCCAACAGAATAAAAGTACTTTTTGAAAAGAGCAGGATAATGAAGGGAAATTTTAGCTATGAGATAAATATGTTAGGATTTTAGTCTGTCTCAACGTGATACTTACTCTTTCTTGATGAGCACCCTTGGTTCCATTTAAATCAAGACATACAATGTTCTATTATACAGTTGTTAAGAACAGAGGGATATTGTATAATTATTATGAATTTGTGGGAGTAGGTATGGTATCCAGTACACAATTAATTCTATATTGAGATGTTAATAAAATCCTGCTTCCTTCCTTCTTGAAATGATATAGCTAAAATAAACCCCAGAGCAAAACCACTTTCCCTACCTCAAATTTGGTCCGTTTGGTTTGGATGGTGGCTGCCAAGAAATCCCAACATAAGATTCACTTAGCGGAACAGCGGACAACGGGGCCAGTTCCTGAGGCAGGGCTGGATGGGTAGTAGCAGAGGTAGGTAGACTCTCAGTGCATCCTCCTAGGTACCCATTACCTCCAGAGCAAGCAACAATGGTGACTGAGTAATTAGTAAAAGGCATGAGATGCTTGATTAGATGACTGGACACCATGGAGGTCACATTGGTTATTGTGATGAGAGGGTCGGGCATGCGGATCTCATAGCTCAGTATGGCTCCATTCTGGATAAGTGGGGCTTTCCAGGTGACCTGAAATAAAAGACCAATAGCATTAGTATGACAACACAGGAACAGAGCAACTGAAGTTCACAAAGTCTAGAGTTTTGCCTGCCTCATTCGCCCTAAAGTCATTTTCTGAAGGCCTACATTTAACTTAGCTCTGTACACTAGACAGTAATGAAGGACGGGGGTCAATGAGCTGAATGCTAGGAACCGAGTGGGAGCTGCTTCCTGAGCCTGACTTTTAGCTGTGATGCTTTCTAAGACTGTCAGACTAATACACACCATGGTGATTCATTTCCACCGTGGGTGTGCTGAAGGACACAGGGCAAACACACGGAGGGAGGAAATTCACACATCCACATGCATCACAAGGCAGCATGAGGACTTGAGAGTTTGCACATTTATAACTCAATTAAATTGAACTCAGGGCTCCTTGCTTTACCTTGTGGGTCAAAGAGGCTGTTTTACAAAGCCTGGGATGGGTGACCATTATTTGCATTTTCTGAGATTCACAATGGAATTTCTGAAGCTGGTGGATAGTTTAACAGATCTAGTTTCAGGTAAACATGTAGAAACATGTAGAAAGCTTTTAAAAGTGCAATCAAAGGATCGTTCGGTTTGAATGAATTTAACATTAGAAAACAAAATAACATCTTATGAATTCCATCGTATCAGGTGGGACACTTCTGCCTACATTTATTAGAGCTTAGTGGACAAAGGTTCAAGGTTAGAGGCCCCTGAAGGCTCCATAAAAGAAGGTCTGTTGCTGCTGCACAAATACACAATTTGGTGATTTCTGCATGTCTGATTTTACTTTCTTTATTTTGCTAAGAAGTGGCTTCCAAATCTTATAATACGATTTAAAACTATTGATTGTTTTTGTTTTGTGTGTGCCTGTGTGAGTTTATGTACACCACACCAGTTCAGGTGCCCAAGGAGACCAGATGATGTTGGACCCCATGAAACTGGAATTATAAGTAGTTATGGGATGCCTGATGTGGGTGTTGGGAACTGGAGCCCTCTGCAAGAATGGTAAGTACTCTTAACTGTTGAGTCATTTCTGCAGCCCATAAGTCCTTTTGGGTTAAAAAGGAAATACAAGCGGCTCTCTTCTTCATTGGTTGATGTAAGAGGCATGTTGATGGATGGCAGGGTATTGAACTTGCCTTACATTTTTGGAATCAGATCAGATTTGTCCCATTATATTATTGTTTTGATATTCTGCTTGATTCAATTTGCTAATATTTTATTCAGAAATTTTAGCTATTCAAATATGAAATTATTCTATACCTTTATTGAACTGTCCTTTTCAGTCTTAGTAGAGACTGTCTACCAACTTTCTAAAAGGAAATGGTCCAGCCCAATGATGACTGAATGCTGGTGGCTTTATAACAGGGAGAGACCAAAGCGGGGACATAGGAAACTACAGGATTCCTGTCTCTCAACCTACGGGGCCCCACACGGCTTTAGGATGCTCCTCACAGAAAGCACATCACTGGATGGAGCCCCTTATCCAGGAAGCTACAAAACCAACAGCCCAGCACAGCTCTTCTCTCTAACCCTAAGTTGGCCTGTTACTAGCAATACAACGTGCACTAAGATCGGTGAGACAGCCGCTCAACGCCTTCCGTCATTTACCACCACCGACTCGTACTTCCTATATATCTTTAACCTGATTCTGCTCCCCACCCCCAGTCCTTGCCACCTGCAGGCATCTATTACATTTATTTGTCTACAGTGCAAGCTCCATGAGGTGAGGGGCTTTATTTATTTATTTATTTTGGCCCTACTCTCTCTTTGGTGTCAAAAGGAGATATTCATAAATATACTTCCATGAATGTGAGAAGTGAAACATATTGTCATTGTTAATATTATTGACAATTTACTTAGAACAGTAGTGCATGGTAAATATTGAATGGCTTTCTTAACCCGTGCATTAATGACTATCCTGTGATTCCTCATGAATGTTTTATCCATTTGCAATTTTGATTTTCAAATCTGTCCTTGCAGAGAGGAGTCACTGTTTCCAGGCATGTATTTGTTTACCAGAAGCAACCCCACTAGAAAATGCACTTTCTGTAAAGTTTTAAGACATTTCCAAGTACAATATGAGCCAATAATACAAACACATAATTGTGTTCTTTAAACAATATTTAAATATACTACATGAAACACTAGATTTAGTCCAGTATTCCTCATGCTTCTTTTCACTGGTAAATTTCATTTTCTAGTTAAAAAATGGGAATTGATGAGGTGTGAGGGCCAAAGTTATCACTTGGTTGCCATACCTTTATATTTCAATATCTTTCTAAAAACTTTGGGGCCCCATGTGGTGGCACACACCTTTAATCCCAGAACTTGAGAAGCCGAGGCAGGTGGATCTCTGTGAGTTCCAGGCCAGTTTGGTCTACAAACAGAGTTCCAGTATAGCCAGAGCTGTTACACAGAGAAACCCTGTCTTGAAAACCCAACCAACCAACCAACCAAACAAACAAACAAAAACAAAAAACAAAACAAAACTTGACCTGGGGTTTCCATGGTTTTCGTGGGCCTGAGGTGATGACCCATGAGACTTAGCTCCCTTAGTCAAGCTGATCAAACCTTCCCTAGCTACCTGATAGGACATGTATACCTGCCTCCCTCTCCTGGATGCAAGTGTCCATCCCTCACAGGGGGAAATAAAGGCCAACTAACTCCTCCTCCCAGATATTGGGATCCTGGGGTCCTTGACCCACTCAAGTAGACTGGTACCTTGTTATCTTCTGAAATCATGCATGTATTTATTTTTTCTTTTCTGATCCACTATGATCGCTGATGCCTAGTTTTTAAAATTTTGGTAGAAAGAATCAGAAGAACGTCTGTGGTGTAGCTGTTGCCTTTTTGAAGGGACTATGTATGCCATGACACATGCCATCTAACATCACCGTGCCAAGGCCCCACAGAACTCTTCCAGAATTAAGTCAGTTCTGTAATGACTCATTCTAGGCTTGCTTGTTTGATTTGTTTTTTTTTTTTTACTTGACTGAAGCAAGTTCTTATGATTTTTCCAGTGTATACAATAAATATCATATATGCTATATGTAAAAATTAAATTCTATTAGTGTTAAATCAACTGAATTCCATATGCTTTACTTTGACCAAAATTTTAGAATTGTGTTTCTTTAACAATTCTCAGGCCGAAAATAATTAAGATTATTTTGGGTGTTTAATTTTTAAAGACTAAATTAAAAAAAGGATAAAGTTATTTCTAGTTTGTGGGTTAAACAATTTTCTTCAAAAAATTTAAATTATCTAGCATCACCGAGTGTCTGCCTTTCATTGGCAAGAGAGAACACAGCCTAGATCCAAGTAATAATTCCGACAGATGAACTTTGCTGTTATGCAAATGGCCTCTGCTTTGTGCTCTGGTGAGCAAGCTACTGTACCAAGGCTCTTGGCAGTGGTACAAGACTGAGTCCATGGAAGCATGTGTGTATTTACACAAAAGAGGCTTCTAAGCTGCAAAACTCCCTCCTGTTTGGTTACACTAATTTCCCTTGAATGAAGTTTGTATGCCAGCCAAAACAATGGCAGTTATCCCGTCCTCTAGAGTTCAATCCCCAAAGACTGAGGCAAATAATTGAGCTTTCTGGATACCCCAGCAATATGCTATTTTCCTAATTTCTTTTCCCGTTATTTCAATTCTCTGATTTTTTTTTAACAGAACACCAGAATATTAGTGTGTGGTGCTTTTGTTTGTTAATATGCTTCTCAGTGCTTCCATTAGTTTCCCCAATCTCTTCTCATTTTCTGATCTGTTTAAATATGACGTGGTCCTGAGGCTAAGCATCCCACAGTGGTATCAAAGTATTTCATGTGTGCGAGGCAAATAGCAGTCTCTCAACAATATAATTAAGGGGATTCAGGGAGAAATGAAAAACTGACATTGAATTCAAGATAGTTTGGGCTAAAGGCCAAAAAGCCCCGTTTTTGCAGCAACTGCCTGAGACAATGAATGTGTTGGTCTTGTCAGTAGATGGCTCTGTTCAACATGGAGTGTGTTCAGGGTAAGTCCCTACAGCTGTAGGACTGCGGAGAAGCCAGAGAGCCCAGCACTTACCTTGACTGCATCTGGTCCCAGCACATGCACCCTGGGCGGCTGCACTCCAGCAGGCCGGGAGGGTCTTGTTGTGACTTCTACCCACTCGCTTCTTCTTGTGCCTCCACTTACGGAGCTCCCCAGAACCCGGTATTCATACTGTGTCCAAGGACTGAGGGCAGGGTCCCTGTCAATAAACTTCATGGCACCACGACTTCTTGGGAGAGTCACCAGGCTCCTAACTTCCTCATTCCCTTTGACTCGTCTCTGGATTGTAAAGTTCTCAGCCAAGCCACTGGAGTGGGTGGGGGGTTGCCAAGATACAATGACAGATGTTGGAGTGTACGGGAACAGCTCTGGGCTTGGGATGCCTTCCGGTGTTCCTGGGAGTGTCCACACAGTCTGAGACTCTGGTGACTTGGAACACCCTTTGGAGGTGCAGGCTTCTACCTGGAACTGATAGGCTGTGTGAGGGCGTAGATGAACCACAGTGTAGTTAGTGACATTTCCGGGGACTGTGAAGGACAGACGGCCATGCTGGTAAATGTTATAACGGGTAATAACCCCATTGCACTTCACAGGCTGTTGCCAAACGATTGACATCATTCTTGATTTCACATTCAGAAGAACTGGAGCATCTATTGGTTCAGGCTCTGTAAAGAAGAAGACTTTCAGGAAATCACATGTTACAAACTTTCCACAGATCCTCAACAATAAAACTGAAACGAATGAGCGATCACTCAGCAGAGATGAGAGACAAACAGGTAAAGGGTACAAACATGTACACAACTGCCCTGCTCACCATGGTATGTGACATACTTGTTGAATATTACTGAGCTGAAGTTGTCCTTTCCTTCCTAACATAGACTTATCACAATCATTTCTTTTGATTAAAGCTAATGCTGAAAAATATTGTAAGGATTTTAAAAATTATTTTAAATCAAGGCATTAGAAGGAAAATACACAAGCTGACAGTTTAACCGAAGCACTGGCTTTGGCCATATTTGGCCCCCTAGATCCCCAGTACTGATTATATACCACAACAGACTGGCTGACAGCATCCCTCATTATACATTCCATAGGATGCTGCCTCTGTTTATCATGCTAATCCATGTTTTGCGATTTATCTACTCTCTGTTAATATTATCGGTGATTTTTACTGTGCCTGTGACAGAGCTGACGATGATCTAGCTCCTTCACCTACTGATAAATAAACAATGCACAGATCTGACCTTTAGGTTAACAGGTTTTACGCCTGCTCCACTCAGCACTCTAACTGATTCAATTATCATAAAGGTTCGGGAGGCCCCATGAATACTGAAAAAGACCCACCATATGCCTGCAGAGGTGGTGGTGGGGGGCAGCAAGCACTCTGCAGCCCTCCAGAGAAATTCCTTAATTGTAAATAATTTCACCATGCGACACAATCAAGTCACCTTGAATGCGAATCCCCTCAGCCCGTGCAGGCAAAGTGTTATTTAAGCTTTACTGGGCTGCGTTAAATTCTGCAATTTGAAGGGCTGTTAAGTTTTTCAATTGAAATTTCATTTAAAATGCAGGTGCTTTTTATTATATTGCGGCTTTACTGCTCTCTAGGTACAAGCAAGAACATGGCGCAATAACACAAATCTGGCTCAATCACTGATCAGTAACAGCTGTAATTCCAGAACATTTAGCATTCTTATAAACCATGGCCTGAGATCTATAAATTGCTACAACAGATCAAAAAAAAAAATACTATAGCCCTCTTTTCTGCCCACAGCAATTTTGACATTTATGAGATTTTTTTTCTGTGAACATTAGATTTTATTGAAAATCTTTTAAAAAGATATAGTTGGATTTGGTAATTGTTTAAAACAGCATTGATTTGAGTGTGAATGTGTGATTCAGTGTCCCACTGAGGTCTAGGTGTTAAAGGCAGCCACAGACTTGTGAAGCCAGTGGGTGTGGGAATAGATCGTTAAGGGACATTTTCAAACAGAATGCTCCACGTTTTAGTCAGCAACTGGACTGATGGGAGAATCATAATTTGTTTTTTGAAGGGGCCTGAAATCAAGCCATTTTTGACAATGTGGTCACACATCCTTTGTGGAGAGAGAAATCCTCGTATCATAGTGATGGTGTGGGCATTCCCCAGGCTGGTCTGTTGTTAGCTCTTGCTTTAAAGTCTTCTGAATGCCTCTGTGACATTTCTTCTCACCTCTCCAGTCCATAGGTACAGAAGCAATTATCATACCAACATGGGGCTATGGCTCCTTTCTTAGCTGGCCATGTCATGCATGTTTAGTTATTTCCCAGAGAAAAGTGAGAGTCTTGCAAGTTCTAAATGTTGTTTTGCAATCTTAAAAAAATACAAAAAACTCCTCTGCTATAGGAGCTTGTAAAATCAATGGTGGAGATTCAAGTCTGTAGCCTAACCCTATTTCACCCCTCTCCCAGTAAAGAATAACAGATGCTTAAAAACCGGAATGCTTTCCAGCAGGTTTTCATCAGGGTCTCGCATAATTATTCCCTCCTCTGTGAGCTATCACACCACGGGCTTCTTCAGGGAACAGCACCAACAAGGATGTAGTTTGTTCTCTGTGATGAGAATAAAGCCTTTTATTTCTCCTGAAGATGCTGATAGTGTGATAGGTAAAACATCCATGATAATGAGCCGAACTCGCACTTCAAACTCCCACAGAACGCAGCCCTTCCTTAAAGACGACCTCTTATCTTAGGAAGAAGAGACATTCAATTTCAATTTCATGATTCCCCCCCCCCCCCCCAGCACGCCCCCAAAGCCAGAATACATTTTATTAGCTTCTCTCTTGGGGAACCCAAGCACGCTCCCTGCTTCCACTGCAGAAGTCCTTTAACGCATCTTGGAGGGGAACAGAACTGGGCTTAATTAGCTCCTTCGGCTAGGGAAGTGTTAAAACCTGACTTCTGGCACTCCTTCAATTTAGTGCTTTAAAATGATAAGCAGGATCATCTAATTCTATATACAAATCAACTGTCCTGCTACTGCGCAGTTGAAAGGGTCACCACAATTATGTAAAACATGAGTAATAACTATAATTGGGGTAGTTGGCTAATACAATAAAAAGCCGCGAACATGAGGAAAGTTACGCTCACCGCGGTAGCTATCACTTTCTAAAGTAAGAATTCATGGGTGAAATGACATGAAAAAGATGGTTATAAAATTTTAATGGAATGATAAAAGGCAAAAGTCGGCCTCTCAGCTGAATTCGTAAAATCCCTATACATCACAATCAGCTCCTTAACTGTAAAATCAATGTGGAGTATAACATGTTGTCAATGCTGCTGTCACTTGAGGGGAGATGGGGAAGTCTGGCAGGCACACAGCTCAGCCGCCCAATGATGAAAATACAAGGCAACATCTCTCTCCGTGGGTGTAATTGTTTAGAGCGCACCCCCCTGGAGCCAGGAACAGAAGCCTCTTCTCTGGTCAAATCACATATTCCTGTTTCCGACAAGTTAGTCTTAGCATTAATAACTGAAAGCAGTTTTCTTTTGGCAAATGACCCGGTCACTGTGGGCAGCTGCTTGCCCCACCAGCAAGGCTCAGCCCCAGCCCCACAGAAAGTCATGACCTTGTTAGGAAAGGGGCTGGGGCCTTTCCACAATCGTTCCAGGTGTGCGCATGCAGGCTCAACACCATCAATGGCTCCCAACTCGAGGGTACACACGACGTTCAGCGATTTGGGATGAAAAGTCTTTCACACATGTTTGCTATGGTTGATTGATTTTCCCGTTACAGTCTCAAATGTTGTCCTCAAGCTAATATTTTACCATTCTCATAAAAAGAACCTCACTCAGTTTAAAATCTCTTTTCAGTGATATTAGTTCCTAAGTGAATAGCCCCTAAATTTGCCAGTGAATAAAAAACGGGGGGGGGGGGCAGTATATGGATGGCCCTTAGACAAAGCTATACATACAGGCCAGATGTTAAGATAACCACGCTAGTCACCTCTGATGCCTTAGCTGAGAGAATAGTGACCTGTCTTTTTAATCATGAATTCCTTCATCAATTTATTATTTATACCCAACAACTTCCCCAAAGAATTTCTGACAGCTGATAATAAAAGAGCCAAATGCAAGAAGACCAACTGAATAGAGAGACGGGGATGTTCATGCCGCGGTAATGAAGATGGTGTACCCCCAAAACAACTATGCAGAAGATGAGCTCGGACTTGCACACAGTGTCAACTCCCAGCTTCCTGACAAGCGACTGCGAAGGGAAACTCCGAGGCCGTGTGCCGGGGTCTAAGGAAGGAGCAGCAGTCTTCTTGCAACTGTTGAAGTGGAAAAGGCAGTGTTGCCGTCTGCAGGCGAGAGAACCTCTACTGAGGACCTTCTGGTCCCCATTCTCCTGAGACCAGGGTGAGTGGAGGTCAGGAGGAACGGCTGGCCCTGGAGAACTAGGGCAGAGGATGAGGTGAACCGCAGTGGGTGCTTCCTTGAACAGTCTGGGGTTGCAAATAAAATGTGCTGTGCCAACCAGAGAAGCAGGAAAGACCCGCAGTGTAAATGTCTAATGGTCAGAAATGCAGCCATCCATTCAGAAAAGGCTGCACCTGGGTTAACACAGGGGTGGCCCCTCTGCTCTGCTCACAGTGCTCTTATCCTGAACGACACTGGCTGCTCTTCCCGACCGTGACTACCTTTTCCAGATTCTTATTTCATTAACCTGGGAAAACTGGGTTTTCTGGGGTTATGGTCAAAATGAGTGATATAGCATGATTAAAAGAATCTATGTAGAGTTTTAGTGTTCTAGAATGTTCCTGACAGGCAGGGTGTGTGTGTGTGTGTGTGTGTGTGTGTGTGTGTGTGTGTGTGTGTGTGTGTGTGACAATCTATTGAAAATGATCACAGAAACACCTGCCTTGGTTAACAGTTAGCAGTTTTCAGGTGTGAAGTTAAGATTGGAGTGTCTTAACCCTGGCTGCTCAATACGCACATGTAGTGGTTACCCAAGGGATCGTCTTACAAAGTCCACTGAGAACTTTCAAACATGGATAGTCTGTTTTTCTCAAAGAAAAAAAATACTTAAAAAAAAGTTTTGAGAACATTCCATAGATAGCATAATTTAAGTGACAGAACAGAGAGATGACTATTGCCATGGAATCTGGTACATATGGGCTCTTAGTGAAGACAATCCGTAGCAGTGAGGCAACTGTGATAACAATACTTATTAATCTCTTAAATAAATGTAAGGAAGGCTACAAGGGCCTGGATTGCTTACCGCTTCGATATGTAGTTTTCATCTGAAGGGTGTAAGGAATATTGTAATTGGAGACTAAGTTTGCAAGAGCTGCCTGCTTTATGTACTCAAAGGGGATTCAAGAGAGCAGGAGGGAAACTGAGGCCAGATGGACCTAATTTTCTGTTATTCAGTCCATCATTTTAAAGAAATCTCTGTTGCTAGCATGGCTTGGACAAATTCAATGTAAAGATTATAAAATAGGAAAGACATATAATAAAGTAGTTGCTCTTACTAATTTTGAAAATGCAAGAATTCAGGTTAGTGACCTATGCAGTGGGAAACAGGGCTTATAGGTCAAACACGCGGAGCCTTTGGTTTTTAAGATTGGAGAAGTAATTATGGAACTTTTGTGGCTTCAGAGATGGCTCAGCAGGTAAGAGCACA